AACCCCCACCAGCCAGGTCCCTCAGGCCCCTGAGATGCATCTTGCCGGCTCCCATAGACACACGGATGTTCAGGTTCCCCAGGTGGTCTCGAGCCTCATCTTCTCTTACAGTGGGAGGGACTTTGCTCCCCCAGTCCCTGCCTTGAGGTGCATCCACGTGAGAGGGGTGGGAAGAGAGATTGCCAGTGAAGATGGAGGCAAAAAGGTTGTTGACTGCCTCAGCCTTCTCCTCACCTGTCGTTACCAGTTTGCAAGTCCTGTTCATCAGGGAGGGTACACTTTCTTCGACCTCCCTTTTCTGCCTGGTATACCTGTATATACATATATAAGAAGGGAAGCTTCTCCCTTCTTACTATTCCTGGCGTTCCTTGCCACGTTCAGCTCCAGCTGCGCCTTGGCCTTCCCGACCCCACCCCTACACAACCAGGCAACGTCCCTGTACTGTTCCCGGGATACCTGTCCCTGCTTCCACTGCCTGTGCATTTCCTTCTTGCCCCTTAGTCTGACCAGCAAGTCTTTACTCAGCCGTGCCGGTCTCTTGCCTTCCTTTCCTGATTTCTCACACATGGGGATCGCGAGCTCTTGCGCTCTGTGGAAAGCGCCTTTAAGGTGAAGATCTGCAAGCTCTGTTCTGCTCCTTTATCCCTGAGGGCAGTTTCCCAGGGGGTCCCGTTGACTAACTCCTTGAAGAGCTGGAAGCTTGCTTTCCTAAAAGTCAGGGACCTGACTTTGCTCTTCGCCTGTCCCGTATCCCTCAGGACAGAGAACTCCACCAGCGCATGACCACTGCAGCCCAGGCTGCCTCCAATCTTGACGTCTCTGATTAGCTCACTTGCGTTGGTGACCATCAGGTCCAGTATCGCAACCCCTCTGGTAGGGCTGTCTATTACCTGGCTTAAGAAGTTATCCTCAATGCATTCCAGGAGTCTCCTGGATTGTCTACAGCTCACCGTGCTACTTTTTCAGCAGACGCCAGGGTGGTTGAAGTCCCCCAGCAGGACAAGAGCCTGTGAGCGCGATGCATCCTGTAGCTGGAGTAAGAAGGCTTCATCAATAGGCTCCCCTTGATTGGGCGGCCTGCAGCAACCACCAACCACAAGGTTCCCTTTGTTGCCTTGGTCTCTAATTCTTACCCATAAGCTTTCAACCTGCTCGTGGATATTCTTCAGAGACAGCTCTTCACAATCCATCCATTTCTTGACGTAGAGGGCAACCCTTCTGCCCCTCCCTCCTCACCTGTCCCTTCTGCACAGCCTTCTGCCCCTCCCTCCTCACCTGTCCCTTCTGAACAGCCTGTAGCCTTCAATAGCCGCACTCCAGTCATGAGATTCATCCCACCAAGCTTCAATAACGGCAACTAGGTCATAGCTTTCTAGCAGCATGGTGGCTTCCAACTCCTGCTGTTTGTTGCCCATGGTGCCTCCATTGCTGTAGAGGCACTTCAGCTGGGCTGTTGGCCATGTCACCATTTTAGAGGAACACACCTTAATTCCTTTAAGGTATTTCCCCGGTGTTTCCCTGTTGGCTCCTATTACCTCAGGAGCCCCTGGCTCATCTCCGTAAGACTTCAAGTGTGCTCCAGTGTACCCAGCACATCTCAGAGCAACAGGCCCTTGCTAGTACCCCGTCCCTCTAACCTTAGTGTGTCATCCCACAGCTTGTCACATGCAAGCCTAATATTTTCCCCCTCCCCTTCAAGTCTCATTTAAAGCTCTGTCAATGAGCCCCGCTACCTTGTGAGCAAAGACCCTCTTCCCCCTTTAAGGAAGGTGAATCCCATGCAACACCAGTAGGCCTGGTGCCGTGTAGACCATCCCATTATTGAAAAACCTGAAACTGTGGTGGTGACACCAGCCACAGAGCCATGCATTAATAGACTGGGTCTGTCTGTTTCTTCCAATGTCACTGCCTGCAACTGGAAGGACAGAGGAAAAAATTACCTGTGCACCAGATTCCCTTACCAACTGTCCCAAGGCCCTGAAATCTTTTGATTGCCCTTGAACTACACATTGTGGCTTCATCACTACCCACATGAAGAGCAGTAACGGATAATAGTGCAAGGGCTGGAGACTCCTTCCAGACTTAAACATGCCATTGCCCACACTGGCCCACTGGTGTCCAATAGTCCTAATTCTAACTCTAATCAAGGCTTATCTTGTCACACTTCTTTGTACCTGCCCCTGACCAAGCAGCCTTTCTGAACCTTCTTCTCAACTTAGTTCCTAAGACTGTACAAGATTCAACTCTCGCCTTAGCTAAAATGTTCACCTACCAACCCCTTGCAAACTCACTAGGTATTACCTACAGTAATACTACCCTAGTCCCAGCCCTAACACTAGCAGCTAAGGATAAGCAGTTAAGGCTTGGCAACCCCTAAGATCTAGAACTAATCCTAGATCCTCCATTTTTTATCTTATGGATCCTTCAAAATGCAGCCTCTATGCCAGTTTAGAACCAAATTTTATCCCTAGCTCTAAGCCATACTTCACCCATCAGCAAGTCCAGCCACGCCCCATCTTACATATAGATAGGCAACAACTATTGTGCTTCACATCTTCATTTAAAATTTAAAGGTAGCTCCAGCCCAAGAAAAAGCTGGACATCATTATCTTTTATACTTTGCCCATGTACAGCAACTGTGCTGGGTACGCAGGCATCAGACAGTGAAGCCCATGGAATTACTAGCAGTAATTAAGGAAATATAGTGCAACAGGTGTTCTGAATGTTTCCATTTAGTGGTGATAGTATTTCAGAATAATTCTGTCCTACCTGGTGCTGAATCTCTTCTGGATTTTACTGCATATCTTTTAAGCAGTTTCCTCATAGACAGGTCAGAAGCTTCTTCTAATGCACACCTTCCCATCTCATTTTTTAATAAGGGGTCAGCTCCATACCAAAGTAATAACTCTGCCATCTAGAAAAGTAAGTTTTTCAGATTGTTTCTTTTCTGACAATACTTTCCATACTCCTTCCTTATACAGGCTTATCTCTCTTGTACTCGACAACATGAGCAACTAAAACCCAATCTAAGGCCTATGACAAATAATCCCTCTCTATTCTAGTTAATATACCCCAAGCATTCCCCTGGATGCATCATTATCCTATAGTCTTATTATTTTCATTTTTATAAATTCATTTCAGTTATTAACCTGATGCCATTAAGCCAAGGTCTCCCAAAATATAGGGTAGGATTCATTCCCCCATAGCTCTTAATTGGTGGAAAATAACAGGTGATTTTACAGTATGAGTCATCTTATCTATTTAGGATATCTACTTTAGGAGAAAATAAATTGTGCTCTAGGTGTGTCTATTGTGACTCCTGTGACTGCAAAGGGAAGCTTTGACAGCTATTTCAGATGTACAACACACATCTGGTCAAATGAAACCCACTCAGATGGTCTTACCAACATTATGATTTCTGTACAAATATAAAGCCTGATTCTGTTGTTATTCAAGAAATTACCACTTTAGCAAAATGTTCCATTTACCTTTGCAGAACACTTTTTCAAGACATGGGAAATATACAATCTGATTATTTCCTTTCTGTGGGTAACCCCCCAATTTTGTTCCAGCACTAGTGTGGTTTTACTTGTACCTCTGCCCTTCTCTCTTCAGCATCTGTTATCATTTCAGATTGAGCTTGACTCATATCCTTCACCCATGCGTTTAAAGTCCCTAATTACTTCTAACCAGATTGCTACTGAGAAAATTGCTAGTGAAGTTTTCTCAATTCATACATTCTCATAAAAACAGAGCAAATAAAAAAGGGTTCAATCCAGAGCAAAAACCCTCTTGGGCTTCACAAGTTGTCCCAAATCTATGGATTTTTTCAACAGGTCATGTTGAGAACTCTTGCTCCTTAATGAGATCTTTCACATCACACTTGTATGCTCTGCCCCTTAACTGTACTATTAGAAAGTCTTTCATATACTTACCATTTTTCTGAAATAAGAAATTAATTTTGCCATATTGCAGGTGCAGAAAGGGATAAAGCAGTCAAAAGGTGTGGTTCCAATCTACAATAATAACTTCATGCAGAGAAGGTTGCTTTGAAAGAAACAGCTCCAAATACCATGTTACCAAAAGTCATATTACTCAATCACTATCACACTTTTGTTGCTAGACAGAAGCAACAAAAATTAAGTCTGATAGACCACTGCAGTGATACGACTATATTGCTCCTGAGTAAATACAGCGCCACCATGTAGTACCGTTCCCTGTGGATATACCAGCTCACATAACTCGTAACACAGATCTGTGTTGAATGACGCTGGTGTGCCCCAAGTGACCTAGCTGAGATCAGTGTTCTTCCAATATCATTCAAGTTGCTTACCCCTAAATATTACTTGCATAGATGCAGAGTCCTTCATGCGTAACCGTGGACATGGTGTCTTAGGAAATTTCACAGAACTCAGAAATATTTCATGAACCTGCAAGAGTCTGTGATCCACAAGCTGAAAACCAAGCTTGGGGCTCTCAAGTCTCAGAGAAAATTATTAACCAAAAGTCCACCCTTCCTCTTTGCTCCAGGGACACTTGGGGAGAAACAGGTTAAGTCTTATCTCAGTTGTGAAACAGAAAGAGAGCAAATGTTTAGGGACAAAACTTATTACACCCCACAAAAAAATTTTAAAATCTTGGAAATCAATAAATATTAGGCAGCATATGAAAAAAAAAGAAAAATGGACATGCAGAACTCCTACATAAATCTGGGCCACCCTAGGAATACGCACAAACAGACAGGCGGAGGCAACCACTGCCAGACTGAAAGAGGATCCACAATTCAGACAGAGGCTTATGAAACCACAGCATTTGGCAACAAAATTTATAATTAATTTACATTGACTATTCAGTTGACTTTCTGTTTAAGACCATACAAAATAGAAAGCCATGTCTTCATAAGTCTCCATGCTGTGTGTTAATACACAAAAAATGTCTGTACATGGCTGTGGCTGCACACCATACATGCATGTTTACTAAATCATGAAAAAAAGTAATTGAAACTCCAGAAGACTGCTCAGGTCATAAATCATTCTGCAAGGTGATTATAAAATAAGTGAAACAAGTAGTATTAAACAGTAGCAATCTATTCCTCAGTATTTCAGCCATTGTCCCAAACAGAAAAACAATTAATTTCTGCTTTTGGACAAATCTTGTAAAGCATGGAATGGTTTGAACATAAATTGGGCAGAAAAGACTTGCAAGCTCCTGAATTTACCCATAATCTGAAAAGACCAGCCACATTTAAAAAGATTATGTGATCTTCTGGACCCAATAACAACCATTTCTATACCTAAACCGTAACTTCTGTTCAATTTTGAATATACCTCATAATGGCCTTCTTTAACTGCATCTTGCAATGGTGTTATTTGTTCATTTCCTCTAGCATTAACATCACCTCCTGCTTTCAAAAGCTCATTTGCTATCCTATAAAAGCCTTCCACACTTGCTTTATGTAGTGCAGTCCAGCCTATGAAAAAGAAAAACCTTATTTCACATTTGGGTGAAATAATTTATGAAAATTTATGCCAGCTTTAGGTTGTCTATTTGATAAATATTTCAGAGAGTATACTGAAAAGGTGAAAACTGATGCATTTTACAATAAGTTTTATCAAGTAATGTTTATGAAAACGTCACAATGGTTGGGAGATCTTATTCTTTTGTCAAAATTTGCACTTACTGAAGAACCAGGTGTGCTGTAACAATATTAGTTTTAGATTTGATAGTTCTGTTATGAAAGAAGAGAATAAAAATTACTCCACCCATACCTTAGTAATTTCTCCCCAAATAAAATGTATATGCTATTTTAAGAACAACACAATTTTTCATGGCACTCTTTTATTTACATAGCCATGCTGAAGAGGGTAAGTAAGAAAGAAGAGACAAAATAAAGACCTTGCCAAACAAAGATGTTTTTTAAGACTATCCAAGAATGGTTCGAGTTTCCAAAGAAAGCAATGAAAAATCCTTACTGAAATTCCATATCCATTCCCAGCTATATGGAATAAACCAAGATATGAGCTTCATGACCCACAGAACAATTCTACTCTGTGAAGGAGGTGTTGAGGAAAAATAAAAGATGGAATGTAAATCTTTGAACTGGGTTTAGCATAGCCTTAAACATTCATTATGTGACAGTTTTGTGTAGGGTGAGAGAAGTAAGGGAAAAAGACTGAGCATCTTCCACTTCCTGTCTTCCAGCTCTCAAACCAGCATGTCCTCCAGAAGACTGTTTTGATGGACAGCCTTACTCCTCAAGCATCTCCCACTATCAGAAGGTTGTCTGGGCCTAATTCACACACTAAATATGTGAATTAATATGTGAATTAGGCTTATTAAGACTGTTCTGCTCCCATTGAGCAAAATTATCTTAATTTCATTGGAAAGAGAAACCCTTGAGGCTCTCTTATACACCACTCAACCCAGAATATTGTGTATTTGTATAGAATTGGGTTTATTATAGGCACATGATGTTGCATCAGGTTGTCCAAAAGTTTTGTGCTATTAGGCTTTGTTCCCAAATGCTGGAAACTCAACTAAGTTTTAAATACATTGCCTAATGTTGACAGTGCTTCAAGATGAATGGTTTTTAACAGTATCATCTGTAAAACATTTTACTGGCATTTTATAGAGCCTATTTCATTAAGAAACTCTAGTAACTCCATATTCTGGAGCAAAAGTTTGAAATCTGTTAAGGGGAGGATAAACAAGGTTCACTTAGGGGAAAGTACCTACTTCTCTCTCAGTAAAAAGTATCCTCTATCTGATACTAATAAGCCCCTGAAAAATTGAACCTGCAACATGTTCAATTGATAATCATTAGAGTTTAGCAACATGATTCTCCAAGGACACTGTGCATGCTCCAGACCAAGGAGAAACACAAGTTTCATTGCAACGTTTTTTCAACTCTCTCAAGGCACTGTGAATCAAGACTCAAACTGAGAGCACAGACAGTATCTCTACCATGCTGTCCATATCCTATGCGCTGATGTCCAGGAAATAAAAAGGAGAAAAAAAACTCCAAAAGAACCCAAGAACTCAGTAAGGTACTGAAGCAGAGTACGGTAGCACAGGGATAAGTAAAAATACTAGGCTAAGATATGGATAATCACTAGTGGAGGGCTTTAAAGGAAGAGAAAAGGCAAGAGGCAGAATATAATCATCAGAATCGTGATTCCCAAAGACAGTGAGATGAAAGTGCATTTCAAAATGGCCCAGGTCTGGCAACTCTACTTCGTTCTGATTATACCTCCTTCACTAACAAAGAAAGAAGTAGGGCCAGGTCAGCCTCTCATCTCTTCAAGGAGTTCAACTAAAACATGTTTTGTGCAGTTGTGCTCATTTCGCACCAAAATAGCAGCCAGAGTCTGGGGGATGAAGAAACAGTGGCCTGGCAAAACGTGCAAAGGCAGAAAAAGGAAGCAGCTGCGAGGCCAAAAACTGGAACCAGTGCACTTTAGTACACTTGCCCACAGAGGATGCAGCTGAACCCACACTATCAACGTTTCTCTTGTCAGCAGATGGCTTTGAAGCCCACCAAAAAAATATTTTCTCATCTACCTCTAGCACAAGTCAACACACGTTACGAGTCACTCTGTTAGCTCAAATGCCAGAGTCCTATACTGTAAAAGTCTGAAATTTGCTGCTAACCCAATCTCTCTCTCAATATATTCCAGAAGACATAGAATTTCTACCTTAATTTTGGTCTGTTACAGGCCTGCATTATACAATAGCCTTTAACTGCAAAACACTTTTTTTTTGTTGCTCCCACAGAACAGCTGTGAAATCCTAGCCACTGCACAGGATGGAAACACTCTAAGAATGAATCAAAGTTTTCTACCAAATGAGCCAGCTGTCTGTGAAACCATCTTCTCTTTTGTTATGGAAGTTTATCAGAGCCTAATGGATGAGACAAGGAACTGCAAAGCAAGGAACAACAGTCTTACACTTGAAGCAACCAATTGATACTTTAGGGTGTGGCAACGTCTGTGACACAGAGTATCACACATGAAGCTGGATAAGGTGAATTGCTTCAATCAAAATGTTCACAGCTGGCCACTATTTGTCGTTCTTTTTTTGTGTGTGCCCAAGATGAAGTAAAAATGCAAAATACCAAGTACTCACAACTTTACAAAATCAAAGCAGTGCTAAATTATGAAGCTACAACTTCCTTTAAGATGCAAGGGATAAAATCAGAGTCCCTGAAAAATTAAACTGGAAAATCTAAATCTTGGTGTCTCAAGCTGGCTACTGAAATGGACCAAAAAAAAATCTTTAAAAAACATTATGATGATTATTTAATTAAGGGACTGTTTTGTGGTAAGCATGCACAGGATTGTTGAATTAAGGCTAAGCAAACTTAACTGCATCACTTTGTAATTTTTTAAGTGTTTACTTTTTCCACAAAATTTTCTTTTTTAATATACTTTTATACACAGGTCAATATATTTTCTCATGAACAATAACCAAGTTAAACCAATAAAAATTTAATAATCTACTGACTAGTCACAAACCTACAGTCTTGTCCACTGCACAAACTCATAATATGCACTTTTATTAGTTATAGGTAGATACTTGTTTTGAAAATAGTATTTTAATACAATTGCAACTTACCAGCATAATCCTGAACATTTACATTTCCACCGGCCTTTATTATGTTACGTACAAGGTCTACATCTTGATGAGCAACAGCTCTATGCAGTAAGGTCTCACCATAAATATTCCTCCTATTAATTGTTGAAAGTGAAACGGTGCGAACAGGCTTTACAGAATTCCTACCAAAGACTTTTTGTCCTGAAAAATAATGTAAAAGATCTGTTGAACAGAAAAATATCTTTCCTCTCTTATTTCAGCTTCACTTTGCACTACAGTTAGTAAATAAGCTTTCTGGAGGAAAAATGTTCATTCAATCTAGTAGAAATGAGTATCTCAAAAAACACATTACCAATTAAATAATAATACCACTCAATAAAAGATGCCATAGTGAATTCCGTAACAAAACTCCAACTGAAATTCAACACACAGGAATATGACTTTGTAAAAGTGTGTTAGTTTAGACTTTTTCCTTTTTAATAACATTTTTGCGAAGTGCATTGTTTCCCACTGGATGATAAAACTGCTATTCTAGGTTACAATTCATTACAAGATGAGCATTTCAATAACTAGTCGGTTATTCAATAATTTATCTTTTCTTAAAAGTCAAATTTATCAGCAGTTCTTTTGTACTCATTTAGGTTTTAAAACCTCCGCTTTGTGAGCAAGGAGTATTTACACTGGGATAGTGACTGAGATTAGCTCCCTCAGATGACTTCTCCCCATTACTTCACAACCAGCTCAGCCATTTCTGCAATGAGCGAAAGGTGAACAGTTGCTTGGGAATAGGAGGCCTAAACGTAAAAAATAAAATGTAAAAGATATTATTTTTAGTTTATTATTTTACAAAACAAATGCTATCTCCCATTATGCACTCATTACAGTTTTCAGCTTGGGTGAAAAGATTTCCAATACATAGATAAGCTGTTCTGTACTTCACCAGCAGTGCCATCCCAGCATCCCTTCATACTGTGGAGAAGAGCATCCTGGCTACTGCCTCTTCTGAAAAGCAGGGAGGGAAGAAAGAAGGGAGGAAGGAAAGGACAGGAGGATCGCCTGCAGGAAAGCACAACGCATGGCTTAGGCCATTACTTGATCTACTAATGAAAAACCTTGGGACAGCAGGCTATATACACTGCTCCTCTCCACAAGCTGTAGTAGATGTGGCTCGCTGGCCCTAAAACTCCACCTGAGTGTCAGACATTTTAAGTATGACCTTAAAACACGTAGCTCTCCTAGAGCTGTAACTCACAAAGCCTGATGTCTCTGCTGTTTTGTGCATGGTGATATACTGTGAGCTCAGATTAATTCCCAACCTTGACTCTGTGTAGATTTTTAGAATCTAATAGATACAGGTTTACCCAGGACCTTCCCTCAGCTGAGCACATGGACAGTCCCTCTCCCCTACCTGTCCAGCCTTGCAAGACCTTAACCATTTAAGATACTGCAGTCCCTAGTCAAAGCTGGTCTAAACTAGCCAAGCAGTTCAGAAGGGGTTAAACCACACAGACATACACAGAACAATGCACAGTTTTATGTTACACTTAAGTCAATTTAACTTGTTACTTCAAGAGGACCTATTTCCCATCACTTCTACCTTGCCTTACTTACCTACCTACCTAGCACCTTCCTTGTGTCTGACCTTGTGCAAAACAAGTGATGCTTGCTGATGCAAACAGAAACTTTTTGTGGGGCTGTTTTTTCAGTGAATTACCAAACTAAGATGACTCACAGACTCTTGATTGCTAGGTCTGATGAAAAAGGGAGGTAAACTTGCTAGACTGGAATAACACAAAGCTACCTCTATAGGCAGTGCAACTCTTTCTGCAGAAATCACGCTAAAAAACCCAACAGCTTGTTTTTTGAGTGGAAACTCAAAGTAAGTCAATTTGAAATAGATGAGCAGTTAGTCATACAACTTTAAATCTCATAAAAACAGTGCTTCCACTGGCAATAATTAAAACCCTGCAAAACAGTTTTATTAATTGGAAGTAGAATTATTCATATTTTGTATGAATATATGTATATATATTGTAGCTATATGTAGCTGTTACAGTTCAAATACTTCCAAACTTTGTAAGCTGTTTAAATGATTGTAGGAGCACAGATAAATCCAGACTGAGTGGGCTTAAAAAAAAAACAAACCCTTTTAAGACCCTAATCTTAAAGGTGCTGGAGTGAGCACTTAAATGAGGAAATTCTGTACTCTCCTACACACTTCCTCTGCGAGGCAAAGAATTTCTCTGCATGCATCTTCAAAGGATGAAAAATAGCAATCTTTCCCTCTGACAAAGCACATCGCAAGGAAAAATACTTCAAAGAGTGCTCTGTGACTGTGAAGGCCCTATAATCCTATATTTAAAACAGACAGGATAACAACAGCAGGCATCCAAAATAGAATAAACTGTTTTGTACAGGTCAACTCCTGGGGATGGCACTGCCCTCAGAATGATGTTGCACACAGAATACTAGATTATAGAAGGATATATAAATGTATCAGGATCTACATTTTCACTCTGCATGAAAACATTTTTCTTCTGCTTTTCAGAATACACCATAATTTTTTCATATATAGCACTGTGATAAAAATTGCATCCTGAAAAAATTTTCGTGATTCTTAAGGAGTTTATGCAAACAAGTAACTGTTAGGTTGCTAATACGTAAGTTTAAACAAGTGAGGGAAATTATCAATAATTTTAATTATTAAAATGAATGTTTATACCATATTTTTAAAAGAAATCCATGCCACAATATATTGGAAAGGTTATGAATTATATTTGATTCAGTATAGTTATTCAAATAAAAAAAAAAGTCTGATAAACATCAGAGAATATCTTACTCAGTTTGTTTTCGATTCTCTTGCTGCTTCTTCTCTGCTTAGCTTTTCTATCCTCATTCAGAGTTATTTCTTGGCTTATGTTGGTTTCTAGATCCTGCTTGTCTTTAGAAGTAGATTTCTCAATTTTACTGACAAGAGATTTGCTTAGAATCAACACAAATATTCTCTTCTCTATATAAATCAATGTTTATAGTAGAGGTAAGAATGTGAATATATTTGATTTTAAAAGGAAGTCAGTAATAGCATGCAACTATATAGGCTAACTTAGGTAGTACTGAATAAAGAGTAAATCGGAAGAGAAACTAACTTCCTGATCTTTAAATAAAAGGTAAAACCTTTACCTTTTGATTAGTTGAAGTCATTCACATAAGGAATTAGTACTCTGTATACATGTACTTGTTACATTAATTTAAAAGAATTTAAGAATATTATGCATGATTTTGTCATACTCAAAATCCTTATCTTTGTTTCTTGTTGTACTGCCACTGTCAGACATCCTGTGCTGAGTCTCTTCTAGTATTTGGCGATGACTGGAAACATGATCTCTGCAGTTTCTTGAGGAGGTCTCTCTTAACTGCATTGCTTTCCTTGATGTTGTTTGGGCTGTTTCTGCACATGCTGCAGCCTCCACTGAATGTGAACTTCCCTCACCAGTTTGGTTTTCACTAGAGGTGGCACCCCAGTAATCTGAAATTACTTCTTTCTCCCTCTGCTGATCACCAACAGGCTGTGACAAAAAAGAAATATTACAAGCAACTGGTAAGCATGCAGTTAAAACAAGGCCTGTATATACAAGAGCTCCAAGAATATTGTCTTATAAATTACATGTGTGCTCACAGACAATGGAGGGGTTGCTTAAGTGAATAACTGGAATTCTACAGATACAAGAGGCTGCCATAGGAAAGGCACTCCTGAAGTAGTATGCCACACCATGTGCCCCTGGCAGAATTAGCCAAGGGAATTAGGATGCTCAGAATCACAACTTAAATAATAAATCTAGGCTGGCTCACAGCGAAAAAAAGTTGCTACTATCTGAAAGTTGTTTGGTTGGACATTTGAAATGACTTAACAGATTAATTCCAGTTTCCTATGGACATGAGCTCCTGTCCTGAAAAATAAAGTGATGTTTAAGATGGCTTAAGCTAGCCCATCTTATCTCACTCTTGCACAAGCCTATAAATGTGCACAAGATCAAGAACTACTTTCACCTGAGGTTCAGTAACTCCCAGTTGAGAAGTTCTTTCTAAAGACATACCATCCCTGAGTTACAGCCACTGCAGATGAGATTCACTTCACTTACCTTCAGCCTCTAAAAGCCAGGTCTCTAGATGACACTAGGCATCCTCATTACCCCTACCACTGCTGAAGAGTAAGAGCTACTTCCAGAGATGATGGTGATTCACCTCATCCTAAGTTGTGCAAAGGGGAACCTAAATGGTTGGTGTATACCAGAGGCTACCAGTAAGGGAGAGAAATCCCACCCTAAAGATATGTCATCACATGGCTGTTAATTTGAGTTACTTGAGTTTATTCACTGTTTCAGTCAAGTGTGACGTGCTGCTGAGTATCACTCAAGTTGCTGAAACCTGGGTATTTATTAGCTTATTACACACTTGAGTAATGCTGAAAGCTCTTAGGACACACCTTCAGCACACATGCATACAAATTCTTTCACAGTGATGTGGGAGAACTTGTTAGTCCTTTCTTGGGACACAGATGGAAATGGAAGATTTGCTGATTAATTTTTTTAATTGACATATTCAGCAGAGAGGCTACTGAAGAGGTGAACTGCATTTCTGGAAGTGGTCCCTCTGGGTCAAGAGATGATGCATGTTAATATGGCAGTTGGGGAAAACCAAATATTTCAGTTTACAAAACTATCAATGCAGTACTTTCCATGGCATCACATCTGCTATAGGAGGAGGGCAACAGAAGAAGAAGAAAACATTTCAAAGAGGAAAAAAAAAGCCATTTGCTTTATAAGGGACCATATATTAAAATAAATGGGCTATCCAGCATCCTGATTGCATCTACAGGACAGTACAGGCTCTCCTCTTTTGGGTACTTGTTTCACCACCACAACAATACTCTGAAGAAACAAGGGTGAGAAAAGACCAAGGTGAACAATATACTGTTAGAACACAACAGTTACTAAAAAATTAACTGGGATTTTTTCCTCATTAAACTGCCTCCCTACTTTCTGCCTTCAAGAACAGCAGATGGAGGCACAAAAAAAGCTAAAATCAATTATTAATTGTCAAGAGGTTATAGATCCCCATTCCCACAGGACCCTGCTCCACAATCTTAACTGCAAGATTGAGTATATCTATACATTAAGCTTCACACAGCTGTGCTACAAATTTCAGAAATCAACACTTCACTGAAAGAGCTTTGTAAGTTGCTATGGTTCTGAGGCAATTAGCCTAGAGACCTTTTGGCACCTTGAAATTAGCTACCTTTGTGGCACATTTTATTATGTACTGGTAGTATTCAGTTAATACTACCAGCAAAAGACGGAATTAACTCATAGACTTTGGATGCTTTATGCCATTTTGGGGAAGTAAAGTGGCTGTAAAACCACCTTAAATAGCTAGTTATACGTGGCTGATCATTGATTTGCAGCTCCAGATTATTCGAAGGCAACACAGAGCAGAGAATCTGATTCCAGGTTTACAAGGGATGTCTACTACACTTTAGAGCATAAACATAGGTTTCCTATGTGTCCTTCTTTTTCCCTTATTATAACTTAAACAGAAAGAGACTATAGCATTGATCTCCCTTCATGTTCCTCTCCAGATTTTTGCATTCGTGTTGTTGAATCCAAATGACCTATTCCAGATCACCTTTACAGCACAGGACATAACATTGTGGAGAGAACAGCACAGGGTAAGAGAAGAAAACAGAAAGAAGGATTGCATGCTGTATCCATACATCCTGGCTTCTTCAGAGGAGGACATGAACATGAAACCATGCCTCCATTTTTTCAGTAAGTCTTGCATAGGCAGAACTAAACAAAATAAATGCACTTCTAAATATATGTGTAAAAAATCCCTGTAAGTAATCTTTCTAGTCTACGGGAAAGACATAGCTATAATTTCTTTTGTAATACTTGCAAAGCATTTGTATGCTACTGCAGTGAGAACTATGATAACAGAAAACAGCATACTATAGTCTGGAGAAAAAACAGAACCGGATGGGGTAGGAACCTAGAGTTGGAATTTGCTGGTATATGCCAGTGTGCTAAAATAAAATAACAGAATAGTGTTTTGGAACTTTCCTTGGAGAGAACGCGACACATAGATGTACAGGGGGACCAGGAGTTCTTGAAACTCCCATGCTATTTCTAGATTTCCATGTCAGTCACTGAATTAACTTTACTAGGATTTCCCAACCCAGCAAGCTCAGCCGTTTTCATAACACAGATATATCAAAACAGAAAAACACTACTGGACTTTTAAAACAAAAACAATTTAAATGTATTAAACATGCAAATTATTGATGCCAGTTTATTCTTTACTAAGATTCACATCTCCAAGTAATTTGGCTATTCTATAAAATATTTTATGATGAACATAAATTTTCAAATATTAATTAAACTGTGTATATACTTTCTCATTTGTTGTCCTCTGCAAGTTAGATCCTGTTAAGGCTTTTATTTCTTCCACCTGAATTGTAGCAGGTTGAGGCTTAATCATGTTTGTTATTTGTGTACAGTCATCATCTAACTGGGGAATACTGGGTTCTGAATTTAACTGCTCTCCCTCGGTGTTAAGTTGTCTCTCATTTGGCACTACAGGAGTGACAGGTTGTACTACAGAGGCATTCAGAGCTGTCACAAGCTGTACTGGCAGGGCATCACCGCTCTCATCTGCTGATGGATCAACGGAAAAGGCATGACCCTGACACTCTAACTTGTCAGGCAAGTTAGTGTTTATCATTTTAAGAGTCTCAGAATCGCTGAGGGATCTCAACAAATCACTGATTTCAAATTCAGCAGTCTCTATACTCTGTTCAGTGAATGCTTCCATGAAAATCTTCCCTGGGGCTGGCAGTGAAAGATCTGTATCATTATTAGGGGAATGTTCTTTTACTCTGTTATCTGTGTCAATAATGGTCATGTGGGTTCTCTGGCAATCTTCTAAAACATGTGGAAATATATCTTGTGGTGTCTGTTCCTTTGGAACCATTATTATATCTTCCAGAAGGGCATCTAGACAGAGGCTTATTTCTGGAGAGAGATCTTCATTACTTAATTTCTGTGAAATCTAAACATTAAAAAAAAAATTTGGTTATATAAAGGAATGGAACAACTCTTTCTAAAAAGCATTCACGTTAGAAATCATTCATATATATACCTATATTTTATTTGCAATTTTTGCATAAACTACAAGACTCAAAGCCTTCCCTAAAGACTCATACAATTTCTTAACAAGGGTTAGACTGAGGTCTCAGTTTCAAAAGTAGAGCACTTCAGCTGTTGGCTTCCACAGCTGTGAAAATCCAGAGTAACAGAGACTAAATCTGTTATAAAGTCAAAGATATTATGCCATTGCCAATGACCTGAGGGTGTTAAAGGGCTTTAAAAAAAGGCATTAAAAATTTCTGTCACCCAGAAATAATGAAAGTGAATATATTCACAATAATATAAAAAGCACAGTTAGTAAAACACAATATATGAGTTTTGATTATGTGTTTATGTGGATCCCACACAGGTGTGGAGCATTTGTGTCCCACAAGCTTCAGTTCAAAACCTTAGGAGTACGTTTGGAGGCTGCACGTTTGAGTTTCCGCACTGAGTACAGAATCACAAAACCATAACTGTTCTTGGAAAAGTAATACTGCTACTGTTTTTCTAATCACTTTGAGCTGCTTTCAACAGATGCACCCATTTTTATATTAATTAATACCTTTTTCATTTTTTTTCCTATCCCTGTTTCAAATGCTTCTGCAGGAGATCAGATGCCTCAGCAGACCTAAAACATATTTTTTCTATATAGTGTTTGTATATAATAGTGCTGTTGCTTAGTAATACTGGATCTTAAGAAAATCTCTTTCAATACGTTTTTAGACTCTTGCTGCCAGCAAGTGGCAATATTGGGCAGTGCAAGAATCCTTTAACCACTGGTAACATAATTTTGATAAAGCTCACACACAGTAAAACAGAAAGGGCAGAAATCTTACAGCATTGACTCACATTCAGTTTGTAAGCCATTATAAATACCTGAGTCTTTGTTGAAAAATTATTCCCCAGTCTGCTCTTTCCTATCTTGTACCTGTGCAGCTAATTGTTCCTTTTTAAGTACTGACTACTTCTTACTTTGCTGTATTGAATTACAGTTTCTTTTTAGACCACTTCTCTAATTTGTGCAGACTTTAAACAACTGCGATAAAAAACCCACTGGCATAACTTCCTGTACTTGAAGAGCTGTGGTATAAACAGCATGTATGTATATTACAAATTTCCTAAGAAAAAGGCTTGGGGCATTTGTTGAAGGGCAGGTGAAACTTACATTTGTATTCATGGAGAAGGATCAGGCAAGCATAAATGACTAATTTTGCAAGATCCTAAAACCCCAAATACCAACTGAAATCCAACACTTAAATGTGGCTGGTGTTCACAAAACCCCCATCCAACTACAAGTGCCTAAATTTCATAAGTACTCATTTCTGCTGGCAAAATCCTGTGGGACTTGCTCTACAAGTAATTAAAATCTGCAAAACACAATTAAAGTCAAAAGTTTCCCTCCCTAAAACCCATCCTCAGCTGCCACTTATCCATACGCTTAAAGCCCCAGTGCCTAAGGTCAATTGTCTTCAATTGACTGTTGAAAAGGAACAGAAAAGCTGCTGAAGGAGCAAGGCTGAGCCAGCTGGGAACTGAACCAAAACAGGGAGTTCCCTCTCCTGTGGACCCCAGTCTGGTAAATACGGTCTGAATACACGTAAGTTTCATTCAAAGGAGGAGCAGGATTCCCCCTCAGTCAGTAGCTCAGCCGTAAAATATCAACATTGTGGTAAAGGCAGGTTCAGGTCCATCCTCCACCAGAAGAGCTATGCTTCAAGCAACTCATTTAAAAAATGGGTTCCTATGTAAGAATGCCAAAGAGAAAAAGGTATCTCTTTGGCATAAGGCTGTTAATTCTTTTTAGGGTTTGAATGCCAACCATCTCATGGCATCTGTGAATCCCTTCCACTAAGCATAAGCACACTACTTTAAAAGCCTTGATTTAAATCCCACTATCCTCATGTCTCAATTATTCCCAGTACAAATCCAAATCAAAGTGCTCCTTAATCCAGGTGCAAATACTGCTGACCTTCTAGCATCAGCCCAGAATCTCGTCTCCCCATCTTACGCAGTAAGCACACACTGGGTAACAGCTGAGCATGGCTACAGTCAGCTCCAGCCTCAGCTGATTTAGAACCTTGCACCAGAGGAAGCAGTTGGACAGGGAAGTCAAGCAGAGGTTTCATCTAAAAAAACCAACTTACTTGGCCGTGGGTATAAAAACCATGTGTTAATAAACTCACTGCACCAAAGGCCAGTGAGCAAGCCAGGCTTAGCCAAGCCTTAGATGTCTACCTCTCCCTGTGCACTACATGGGCAAGCTTAAATCTGGCCTGTCAGTTCCAGCAGATGGCGGTGCATTCACATCACCTCGGTGAATCTTGACATGCAAGGAATTTTTTTCCATGTGTTTGAGAACAATTAAAAAGTTATCAAGAAATTGGTGGCTATTTGGTGTCACAGACTGTGGCTTGCAAATGTTACAAGATAAAACTGGAATGACTAATACTGAAGCATAAATAATAAGGGTGGAGTGGAAATGTTAAGTGGACTGCTATATCTGGTAGCTCTGAGTCAAACAACAGCAGAGAAGTTCAGCCTTTCAATACATACGTGTAAGAGAATCACTATGAAAGAGTTAAAGCTTCAGAAGGATCAACATTACCAGCTTTTGTGAGAAAGCTGAGCTGAACATTACTGCAATATACTGGGACATAAGGGATGCACAGAGAATCACAGAACAGTTGAGGTTGGAAGGGACCTCTTGAGACCACCTAGTCCAACCTTGCTGCTGAAGCAATGTCAGCTGCAGCAGGTTGCCCAGGACCATGTCCAGTCAGGTTCTGAGTAGCTCCACAGGTAGAGAATGCACAACCTCTCTGGGCAACCTGTTCCAGTGTCTGACCACCCTGACAGTTAAAAAGTGGGGGTTTTGTGTTTAGATGGTATTTCCTTCTTTTTAATTTGTGTTCATTGCCTCTTATCCTATCAGTGGGCACTACTGAGAAGTCTGGCTCTCTCATCTTTACTCCTTCCTGTCGGGTGTCCATGCATATTGGTAAGATCCCCCCAAGCCTTCTCTTCTCCAGGTTGAATAGTCTTAGCTCTCTCAGCCTGTCCTCATACGAAAGATCATAGAACCATAGAACAGTCTGGGTCAGAAGGGACCTTTAAAGGTCATCTAGTCCAATCCCCAACCCGCCGTGGGCAGGGACATCTTCAACTAGATCAGGTTGTGCAAAGCCCCATCCAACATGACCTTGAATGCTTCCAGGGATGGGACATCCACCACCTCTCTGGGCAACCTGTGCCAGTGTTTCACCACCCTCAGCATAAAAAATTTCTTCCTTATATCTAGTCTGAATCTACCCTCTTTTAGTTTAAAACCATTCCCCCTTGTCCTGTCGCAACAGGCCCTGCTAAAAAGTCTGTCCCCGTCTTTCTTATAAGCCCCCTTTAAGTATTGAAAGGCCACAATAAAGTCTCCCCGGAGCCTTCTCTTCTCCAGGCTGAACAACCCCAACTCTCTCAGCCTTTCCCCATAGGAGAGGTGTTCCATCCCTCTGACCATTTCTGTGGCCCTCCTCTGGACCCGCTCCAGCAGGTCCACATCTTTCCTGTATCAAGGACTCCAGAGCTGGATGCAGTACTGCAGGTGGGGTCTCACCAGAGCAGAGGAGAGGGGCAGAATCACCTCCCTCGACCTGCTGGCCACGCTTCTTTTGATGCAGCCCAGGATGAGATTGGCCTTCTGGGCTGTGAGCACACATTGCTGGCTCGTGTCCAGCATTGATACTGGGGGTTGCCCTGATGCAGGTGCAGGACCTTGCACTTGGCCTTGTTGAACCTCATGAGGTTCACACGGGCCCACTTCTCCAGCTTGTCCAGGTCCCTCTGGATGGCATCCCGTCCCTCTGGCATGTCGACCGCACCACTCAGCTTGGTGTCGTCTGCAAACTTGCTGAGGGTGCACCTGATCCCACTGTCTATGTCATTGATGAAGATATTAAACAGTACCGGTCCCAATACAGACCCCTGTGGGACACCACTCGTCACCAGTCTCCATCTGGACATTGAGCCATTGACCACTACCCTCTGGATGCAACCATCCAACCGATTCCTCATCCACTGAACAGTCCACCCATCAAATCCGTACCTCTCCAGTTTAGAGAGAAGGATGTTGTGGGGGACCGTGTCAAAGGCCTTACAGAACCAGATGCTCCAGCCCTTTAATCATCTTTGTGGCCCTGTGCTGGACTCACTCCAGTGTGTCTGTATCTTTCATGTACTGAGGACCCAGAACTGGACACAGTATTCTAGAGGTGGCTTTACCAGTTCTGAGTAGAGGATCACCTCCCTCGACTTGCTGGCAACACTCTTCCTAATGCAGCCCGGGATATTGTTCGCCTTTTTTGCCTCAAGGGTGTACCACTGGCTTGTGGCCAGCTTATTGTCCACCAGGATCCCCAGGTCCTCCTCTGCAGAGCTACTTTCCAGCCAGTTGGTCCCCAGCATGTACTGGTGCCTGAGGTTACTCCTCCCCCGATGCAGGACTTCGCATTTCCTCTTGCTGAACTTCATGAGATTCCTCTCTGCCCAGTTCTCCACCCTGTCCAGGTCCCTCTGAATGGCAACACAACTATCTGGTGCATCAGTCACTCCTTCCAGTACCATCCCTGAACTTGCTGAGGGTGCATTCTGTTCCATTTTCCAGGCCATTAATGAAGATGTGAACAGTATTGGCCCCACTATTAACAGACTAACCACAACAGAAATCAGAGCTGCTACATCATCAAAATCAAGAAAACCCAGCAAGACTCATTTTATGCTGTCAGGCCTTCTATGCAGAGATTATGTTAATTAATGAACTTCTCTTGTATTTTCAGGAATAGATACACAAAACTAACATGCCCAGTGACTCACTGCTGGTTGTCAAGGTGTCTGTCCTGCCCTTTCTTCAAATCAGTACACGGAAGCCTGTGATGGCCATTGGTTCCTCTCACAAGAGGTCTTCCTGCAGCACTCAGATCTTGCCAGTGCCAACATCACCCAATATGCAAAAAGTATAGTTCACTGCAATGATTAATCCCAACCTTCTTACTCCAGGCCCCTAAAATATCCTCTCTGGAGATATTCCAATGCACTCAATCTGCCTATTCTCCAGAGGCTATTAATCATAGGTAATCTTTGTTTCAAGGGAATTCAATTTTGTTCTATTTTAACTAATTCTGTACAATGAGAATATTTCATTTAATAAACTTGGTATTATGGTTGTATATTGGTAGTTGTATATTTTTCAAAAAGGAATAGCCTAGGGGATTTCATTTTTTCCCTTTGTTCTGTGACAAGCGATACTTGACCATGTAATCAATCATATTTGCTACAAGACATGAACAATTTGCCATACTGGTCTCAAATTTGTCTTTGGTGAATTTTAGCAAGTACTGTTTTTTCCCCAACATTTACCTTAATCATGCTCCCTGAAAAAAGGAAAGTAAAATTGATTTATATAGAATTCTAGCTTTTTATTTATAGGTACAAATCTATGGGACTAGACGGAACAGTCATAATGCTATGGTCTCTGCATTAAGCAGGTTATTTCAGCAGATAATTACACTGCATATTCCTGTAAATTGCTCCACACTGGAATGTCAGAGAAGAAATACTGGAACTGGTATCCTGCTGTAAGTTAATGTGAGGTTTCCTAAAAAGCTGCAGATGGCAGTAAGCATTACATGTACCCAGAAAGATTCCTCTCATTTCTCTAGGACCCATGCAGTTGATGTCACTAGTGCTGCAGAAATCCTCAAAACTGTCCATGACATTGCAATAGGAGTTGGTAATAGCAGTTACTTTTTGCTGCAGAAACAGCAACAGAGCGAATTTCAATGACAGTTTCTTTGTCCAGCATACATAGACCTGAAAGCAATGAACCGGTCAGGGATGAACTGAGACTAGAAATTAAAAAGCACAAAGAAGGCATTGTGCCTCAGAGGAGTAACAGAAGGAGATAACAATGCAGAGGTAGCAAAGCAGACATAAGTAACATCGTGGTTGCAGACGATAGCATGCAGATAGATGATACAGAGGCAAAGGCCAAGAACCCCTTCATGAAATGCTGCTAGCACTTCCTCTGCTAACTGGAGAGAAATCTGCTCAAGTCCTTCACTGCTGCTTGGACATCACTGACTGCAAATCAAGAATGGAGGGAGTGCTGGAAGGGAAAAGGGGAGAGGGGAAGTGGAGAGGAATCAAGGGAACGTTTGATCACTGGATGTTTATGTTGGTGGTTGCAGAACCTTCAATTCTTGCTCAAGATATTTCTGGGTTGGATGGTTCTCATGGATATATTGTTGAATTTTTGCTACTGTGTTTTCTGGAAACTGTCAGGGAATTCCTTCTTCCCTCCAAGGTTTTCTTTCTTTTACGTGCAAAAGCAGTGCTTGCAAGCAGATAATTACTAAAAAAATCAGTATTATTTGTGAGCTACACTTGTAACATTCAGATTGCATTAAGCTTATCTAAATTAGTGCTGATACAGTCCCCATCCTTCCACTTGCCTTCAGCTGTGCATTTCTACATCCTCTCTTGTGCTGCACTGGCACTTATCTAATCTTCTGGGGAGCTGGATTGAAAAGATAACCTGGCTGAAAACTAAGCCAACTAAAAAAACTTGAACAGCATCTGACAGTTGTTCCCCAAAACGTGCTTTATGCTGGGGGTCAAACAAGCACTAGTGTAGGCCCAAAGGAAGCAGCAGAAATGCATGGCAAAGAAAATGGGCAGTACTTTGCAACACCCAAGTAGATAGGCTCACACTAGAGTGGAATCATCCCCGATTCAGTATCGCTGAGAAAGGAGCTGACAAATGGGGGAAAAGGTAGCTCCAAAGCTATTCCCTCACTTTTACCTCATCAGCAGTGAAACCTGTCACTCATGAGCAGCTTTAGGATTACCAAAGAGATGTATCAAAGAGGTTGGTACTACCTATTTTTGTCCACAAGTCAGTCATTACTCCCAAACAGAAGGACAGTTACAGATACTCGGTTCCTCCCCAAAGACCTTCCTAATGCCTCTCCCACAACTTTCATTGGTGGAAAACATGTTTTAAGCTACTAAAAGTCTTCATTACTTTAGCTTAAGTAACAGCCGTTATAGATTCTCTGCCATGGTGATGTCTTTCCTACTTCACTGTTACTGCTATGCTTCTAGCCTTGTGCCCTGCAAGCTTAGTAACTGTAGTTCCTACCCAAAAAGCAGAAGATAAAGGTTAGCTCTTAAGCTGTTTTCACCTAATGTGCTCAGTGCCAGTTTCAACAACTATGTGTCTGCTTTTTAAAATGAAAGAACCAGGTATTTTTCAGTAAAATATTCTCCAATGCTAATTAAATTAAATTATATTTTATATACATTCAGTTGTAAAAAATACACTAACCTTTTCTTCTGAATCTTTCTGAAATCCATTCAATTTGATATCTAAATTCAGGAGAGTAAACAAATATTTCAGTTATACTTTCCACTTCTAAAAGTTCTCATCATCTCTAACAAAATGGCCTCACTTCCTGATTAAGGCCGAAGTTTCAAACATTAAAAATTACTATAGTCATGTTCTCTAAGTGGAACTGACACTGAGGTTTCTAGTAAGGCTCTGTTAGTCACCAAATTATATTCCAGGGCTATTTTGTCACATTTCTTCACTGTGGTTTAGAGGCCTGTGTTTCCAAAGACTATCAGCAGACGAATTGCCGCCCATTCCACAGGATGAGACCTATCCCCTGCCCTCTGTAATTACAATGCAATTAGACAATACAGCTAAAACAATCCAATAATTTATTGCCTCTGAAAAGGGCTGGTCCCAACCCCCCTACTCCCATTACCGTGTTTTGACATTCACGTGACTCCCTGGGAATTTCCTAATCAGAAATAAAGTGAGTGGTTTTCTACTGGGTTAGCAAAATTAGTTCAAACAGGGAGACAGCAAAACAGATGTCCTGCACTGCTGTGAGGACAGAGGAATGGAAGTACAACTGAAGTAGCAGCACGTGACAGACAGATCTGGGGAATGCCCAGTAGCATTTTTGTTTCTCCTTTCTTACAGATGCCTTTGATTCTTGGATATGTTAGTAAGAAGCATGTAGGAACCCTCAATGACTGTTACACCCATGCTTACCTTACACACCCATATAGCACTGGAGTACCAAGTAGCCTGTAACTTTTGTCAGAAAATTCCACAGCAATGAAATAATTTTAAGCTGGAAATATACCACTGGCTTGGGAAAACAGTTATTTCTTCAAACAATCCTAACAGAATACTTACAAAAACATAATTGTAATCCAGGACAACTATGAAAACTGAACTGTTGTAAAGGCCACATATAGTCAGACTCTAAAGAAACCTACACAGATACTCATCTTCAGCTTCTCAAATGATTTTGCCACAGCTAGAGCAACTTTCAGTTTTGTACAAAATACAACATACCTACAGAATTATTTTGCTGTCCCTCTACCGCAGCATTTAGTGAAAAAACAGGCTTAGAAATATTTTCAGTAAGTGATGGACACTGAATCCAACCCCTAGAATTAAATAATACAATAAAAAGTTCTTATTCAGAAAGAATTGTAATCTGCTCAGCTTAAGAAAATTTCTACAGTACTCTTAGTTTATTTATGCAGTTTCGTACTTACAGTTATTTATGGAAACAACTGCAGCTATTTTAGAGGCATACTTCTCTTTACAAGGACATGCAGTAACTAAGACTTCCAGATTTCCTAAGTGGAGATAGTTATGTTTGTACATTCATTCTCTAAGTGGAAAAATGGTCCTTCCTATTTTTTATGACTTCTTTTTGTATTTCTATTATAAATCCATCTTCTACTGAAATCCTTCCATAGCTTCTAAGAACAAAAGGTCTAATATTATTTATTACAAATTTTTGTTTATCTGTCTAATGGTTTTCCCTGAGTAGTTTACTGTCATTCCTATAGCTTATGCCCTTATAGCATGAAAGGTAATATCATCAATAAAAACAAATACAGGTAGTTTGACCCATACTGGACACAGAATTACTGCTGACATAAATATAGATCCTTCACTAAGCAAACAAGAAAACTGCTTCACAATAGAACACTGAGAATAAAATAACATACAAATGGAGGTATAACAGAATTGTTTAATTACAGTATGCCTGACTGGAATTCCTGTGTGATGTATTATACTCACTGCAGTAGAGACTGAGACTGGTCAGATGCGTATGGCTCTTGAGGTATCTGAATGAAAAAAAAAAAAAAACTTAACAAGTTAGTAAATGAAGTACCTCATTATTTATTTTCTCAGCTTTATTACATGCTTATCTTCTTCCTTCTGTAATTGAGTTGGGAAACAGAATTTTTAGATCTGGTCTTTACATACATTACTATGTAATGGTATTCCACTTAAATCTTTTTTTCATTTGTGCTATTTGAGAAAAATGTTGAAAAATAAACCAAAACTATGAAAGACAATACTCACCCAGAAGGAAAACATACCTAGGCAAGTAAGATATGATTGTTTTATACTTCAGGTGTTTTATACATCAAAAGACCAAAACACAAGGTATTTTTATTTCAACTCCCAGTTTTAATCTTTTTTTGTGACAATTCCCTCTTTTCATTAAATAAGACAGGGTGCTTTTCCA